CAATCTTGGAATTAAAAGTAAATATGAAGTTGTTGTTTATTAAAAAAGAAATTCATTTCAGTGCCATCGGTTAAAAGAATAGAACCATTGTATAAACCAAACAATCTTTGGGTTTTACCAGATTTTATAAATCCGGATGAGGAAGCAGCATTGATTACTGTTATTCAGGATTATTTGCCTAGAGGAAGTGCGATTTTAATTGTTTTTTTTTATTATTGTTGTTAGATTTTAATTTTTTATTGTTGTTAGTATGTTAGTGTACTGGCCAAACTATTTTTTTAACTTTTTTAATTTATCAATCAGTTGCTAGCAAATTATCAGAAATGTTGAACTGAAAAGAATTGACAGTTTATATCTGATGCATTATGGAAATTTTGATATCGTTATTCTTGCAAATTTTGAATAAGCTATATTTTCAGAAACGTTAAAAAACCGTAAAGTGATTCATTTTGGTTTTGAATTTAATTATGATAATAATATGGCATCTGAACAACCATCTCCAGATCCAATACCATCAGTTTGCCAACCTGTAATTGATCGAATGCTAGGTGCCGGAATATTTAAGGAAAAACCGGACCAAGTAACGGTAAATATTTATGAACCTGGAAATGGTATACCGTCGCATGTTGATACTCATTCTGCATTCAGTGATACTATAGCTTCGCTTAGTTTGCTTTCAGGTTTATTTTGCACATTTTTTTTCTTTTGGAAAATCATCTGAACAAAATTTCGTGAGGATATATTTGTAAATAAATTTGTTTTTTTTCATTCGGACGTAATCGTGGAAGTAGGCATGTTCACCAGTTTCTACTACCCTATCCTTCTTAGAACACAACTGCTCACCAAATTATTATTTTCTTAGATCTCGTTATGGAATTTCGTGATTTTGCAAACACTTCAACAATTTATGATGTTCTTTTGCCACGTTTTAGTTTGACAGTGATGCGAGGAGAGTCACGATATCGATGGAAGCATGGGTATTTTACTTTTTTTGCTGTTTTTCCTACTAATATTTTTTTATTGATAAATGAATGCATGTGAGAAGTTTTTTATAAACTTTTTTTTTTCATCATGTAAATATTTTGCGAACTTTTTGTAGTGAAAAATTTTATAGTATAGCAAAGCGAAAGTATGACATAAATCCGGTAACAAATAGATTGATGCCGAGACAGTTGAGAGTTTCTTTTACATTTCGAAATGTGATACGAGAAAAATGCCAGTGTGATTTCATTGAATATTGTGACTGGGATCGAAATGGTGCAATGAAAGTTCCGGATAGTGATGAATTTGGTGCAGCTATTGAGAATCAATATGTTTCCGCAGTAAGAAACATCGATTATTGTTCTTTGTTCTATCTGACATAAACTAGTTATTCAACAATTTTCGAATTTGCTTTTGCATTTATCTTTTTAGGTTTATGAATCTATAGCAGAGCATTTTGACGTGACTCGACACGCACAATGGAATGGTGTTGCTAAATTTCTGTCAAAATTTGAACCTGGAACAATAGTTTATGATATTGGTTGCGGTAATGGAAAATATCTCAAACTTGATGATGCACTTATCAAAGTATATTTCCTTTATATTTAGAAATTAACTTTTAAACTTTTAATATGAAAAAAATGTTTTGAATTATGTATTGTAGATCATTGCTCGTTTAGAGAATGATTAGGAATAATCCAAATTCCTAATGTTAACACGATCTTAAATCGACATTGACTTGTTTCATTTCTTAGAAATTTGAAATGCGGATTTGATTGTATTTTAGATTGGTTGTGACTTATGCTACAATTTATGCCTTATTGCTAACCAAAAACAATGTAATGTATTGCGCGCAAATATTTTATCGTTACCTTTCAAAAATTCTAGTGCAGGTGCAGTCTTATGCATTGCTGTCATCCATCATTTAACTACAAAAAAGAGAAGGTACTAGTTTATGTAATTTTTTTTTTTTTAATTTTATATAAAAGATTGCAGTCCTGCGTACGGAAATTTTTTCAGCATGCAAAATTACTGCCCTACTTGTGTACTTGTATGTTGTTATAGTCGTGGAACGCTTACGATGTTTACAATAGCTTTGTAATTTACGTACTTTTCATTTAAGGATTCATGCAATTCAAGAAATTATTCGTGTGTTGCAACCAGGTGGACAAGCGTGCATTACCGTTTGGGCATATGAGCAGAAGTTATGTGATGCGCCGTCTGAATATTTGAAAATGCGTCAAAAAAAGCGTGATGTGCAGGTTTTAGACTATACTGTTTTTCTCATACATTGTCGCAATTTCGACGGGATAATCTGAACTGTTTTAATTTGCACGACATGTTTTAAACTTTTTTTAAGCCATTAATCTTTTTTCACTTTTCCCAAAATGTCTCATAGAAACTGCAAATTAAAAATTTTGAAGTTTTGTTTGAATACATATGAAGAAAGTTAACATTTTCAGATGAATCGTCGCGACAGTCATGGAAGACTGAGGGTGCATGAGGGAAGAGAATTCACTCAACCAGATATGCTTGTTCCATTTCAAAATGCTGATGGAAGTCGATTTCTGAGGTACTTGACGACATTTCCTCCACAGTTTTTTATTTTTCTTGATGAAACTGAGAATGAAATTGAATCATTGCATGGAAATAATGGAATTAATGAATCTCTCATTAAATAAAAAAATTCGTATTTGGACCATCTGAATGTATTGATTTTGTTAAATACTTTTTAGAATATTACATTTTAGTCATTGTTCAATTACTGTCAAAGCAATAGTATTAAAGGTGATATGATAGAATTGTTAAGAAATAGACTGAATTACTTTTAGCATTGTATTATTATTTTAATTTAGGTACTATCATTTATTCCGTGATTTTGAACTCGGAGATTTGATCAGTGATGCTGGTGGTTGTACTGTTGAGAAATATTTTTATGAAGAAGGGAATTGGATTGCTTACATAATGAAAGCGTAGAAATTTTTGTACTCATTTCTAGTAATTTGAACTATAAATGCATTACAAATTATTCAGGTATGATTACTATTTTATTGCCTCTTTTTAAGCTATCATTCATAATTTTGAATGCATTGGTTACATTAATTGATTATGTGGAAAATTTATATATTTGTTTAAAACAGTTCTCTATTTCGCTAGTTTGTTGAAATTTATAACTAGATTTTTATTAATTCAGATAATTAATGATAATTAAATTCCTGAAATCTTTGTTCAGAATTCCAATGGTGCTATTTAGATCAGAAAAAATAGCACACGTTAATAAGGAAGTAAGCTGAAACAGGTGTTTTTTCAGACTTTCATAAAGAAAGAAATCTGGCTGCAACATAATTTTGTAAGATCCACATGGGGTATTTTGTGATGTTTTTCACGTGGACAACATAGTCTAACGAATCATTAGACTTTGCAGTTTTTAGCATTACGCCTTTTGATTGTAAATAAAAGATGGCAGAATTTGCAGTTTTGCGAGTAATACAAAACTGAAACTGATTGCTCTGTGACAAAAATGATTTAATGTCGAGAGTAAGCAAGTACTAATTTCAGTTTTATTCAGCAATAAACATTACCAAATTCTATGGAGTCGGTTGCCACTCATAAAATGATAAAATTATAAGACTTAAATGCTTAAATCCATCAGCATTTTATCCTGTAGCTGTCTGATTAATTCTAAGTAGAAGTGGTCTGCCAGTGCTGAAACAGAAGAACTGATAAGTGATGCAAAGAAAACAACACTAGCAATATATTTATGAGAAGATCGAAGGTAAACTTACTTCCAAGGTAGCACTGCATCAGTTATGTGACCATCTCGCACTAATTGCGTGAGGATATTTATGGCAAACGGAGAAGCGGTATCTTGCGATGTGCTTAGAAAGGTAAAGGTAAGGGTGGTATGGTTACGGTTAAAGATAATATCAGTGAAAAAAGAACTGCTCATGTCAAAGTCATCATCATCAAAATCGTCGTCATCAATATCGTCAGGTTCACCGTATGAGGAATAATTCTTAATTTTGTCGTTATCAACCTCAAAAAATTCCTTGAGAATCCGCACTTTTGATTTTTTAGTTTTTTTCAGTGTCACATCATATGTGTATAACTTCTCAAAAATTACCGGAGTGGATCGCTGTGACGCTACTAATAATATGCTTGTGCCAAAAATGCAAAAAAATAATGTAAAAAGTGCAAATCGTGGGTTTCTCATAATTGTAGAGCGTTTCCAGAATTAGTGCCTTAATGAAAGAAAGCAATGTGAATTTATCACAAACATATATTACAGTGAGTTAAATTTTAATTTGATAAGCCTTGAGGTTGCGACTTTTCAGTCTAACGGAAAAGGACGGACAATTTAGATTTTCAAAAATTTCAATATCATTTTTTTAAGCATTGTAACTTACCAATCGTTTTTTGAAAGTAAAATGAAGACCGAATGAATTTGAGGGAAACAATGCAAATATACAATGAATTCTATGTCAATTTCGTTTCTCTTTTAAACTAAATAATCTTTGCTCATTGCAAATATTCTACAATTTCAATAAAACATTTTTGATCATAAATTAATCAGCAAATTATCATGAATTTTGATCAATTTCACCTCATATTTTTGTATAATAAAGTGGAAAATGACTTTTATCCTGCATATTTTCGAAAAATTGAAAATATTCCTCTCAAGAGGAACGGATTACGTGTTAACACAGAATAAACGCTAGCAATGGTTAAAAATAACTAAAAAAAATTAATTAATTAAAAAAAAAGTAATTGAAATCATAGTTAGACAGTGTGTTTTTCGTTTTCTGCAGAAGCATAATTTATATATGCTGACGAAGGTCATCATTAAATAGTAGAGTTTTTTTTTTTTTCATTTCGAAATGTGAAAAAAGTGAAGAAATAATTCCGTATGAATATTCTTTAATGAAATTCCGCATATTTGTATTTCTGTTGCATATGTTAAACATGATCTTTATTAAATTATATTTTACACAATTAAGAGAAATTAATTATTCACGAAATTATTTCTTTCTTCTTTTCTTTTTTTTTTTCATTTTTGACACAACTTCCGTTGGTAGTGTAAATATTAATACATTATCATTTTTTTCGATATTTTTTGCTTGCTATAATTGAAGACAAACGTTTATAACAAATTATATTAAGCGTAGCATAACAGTAATCACTGTAGTATTTGTTAAATTCTTTTTAGACAATCAAAAAGTCGTAAATTACTTACAATCTAATCAATATTTATAAGTTATTTAAAGTAAACAAAATTGGAATATATGTATGTGTGAGATTATCCATCAAATTTTAATTAGCTAATTGCTATACTCTTATTTATTGGTAGTTGAAACCACCAAAAAAACACTCACAAATAAAGTATCCCAATTGATTTCAATCCGCTGATCCTTCTTTGCTATCGTTTCATATCGTGCTTTGATTTCTTCAATTTTAGCAGCGAACTCCTCATCAGATATGTTTTTCATCGTCTACAACAATATTAAAGCAATTTGTTTCTTTCTGACAAAATATTCGGGATTTTAGAAAGTTTCAATTCCTTTAAAATATATTTAATCCATGGAAATTAAAAGTGAATCATTTTATTCTATCAGAAAATTTATCAAATTATGGCTTAAAATTTCTTGTATAAAATAAATTTTCAAACAAATATACATACACCAATTTCAGGCTGTCCTGATTTTCGTTTGTCAGGGCCAAAGATGTCAAATTTTTTGTCCATAAAAATGTACAATGTCTAAAATATTAATAATTTAATAAAAATTGCAGGGGAAGTTTTATGTTATATTTTATTGTGATAGATTTGAATTTTTTTTATTTCCTTTAACCTTATATCTTGGATCGTCGTCATCAGCAATTTCCATTATACCTTCTTTTATTTCCGGCAATGATTCTTCTTGTGTTATGACTTCCTGAATTTTTTCATTAGCTTTCATCGAATCTGTTTTTGGTTTAGTTAATGATTCAGCCTGAAATGAATTTTAATATTAGTTTTACATTTCGTTCCATAAAATAATGTCTTTCGAACAAAAATCATAAATAATTCAACGTTTCAAAATTAAAACTTTGATTTCCCCTAGAAAATCTAAAACCTTTTTTGTAATGATCCTTTCGTTACTTTCCTGCCCGTTTCCGTTTTTTGTTTTTCCGGTTATAAGAGGTACAACAACAGCAACTTGTTTCTTTATCTGAAACGACTTTTTTGAGGAGAAATTAATAAATGTACGAAAGGTTATCCTGGAAAGTATTCAACTGATTTATCAATTCATTAAGGAGATCGTTTTCCAGATTTTATTTCCGTATTAGTAACATTTTTTTAATGCTTGAACTATATGAATTTATTTTTAAAATTAGTAAGACGGTTATTAATTTATGATTTGAAATGCAAGGATTCATCATATTTTTTTCATATTCCAATATGAAGCATATATAAGTTTATTGTTAAAAATTTTAGGATATCCAAATCTCACTTCAGTGTTACTAGCATCCTTTTTCATTTCTGATCCATCAGTTTCTTTCTTCTTCAGTGATAGTGATTTGTTTTTTTGTGATACTAGATAAAAGTAGTTCAGGTGATAGATTGGCTAATTGCTGTTCTTATTAATTAAACAATTTTATTGATTTAATGATCGAAGCGAAGACTATAAAATTTCTCTTTTTCTCCCTCTCTTTCCTTCTCTCCGTCTCTCTCTCTCTCTCTCTCCTCTCCTCCTTGTAGAAATTGAGGAAGAAGCAGCTTCACTCAATCCAAACCCGAAGTAATTGATATATCAATGAAATGTTATTTGTTGTAAAAATGACAAATCAATTCACATCAACCCAAATACGATTGATACGCTGTCGGTCAATCAATCAATCGATCAATCAATTAATCAATCAATCAGTCAATCAATCAGTCAATCAATCAAGATAATATTATTGTAAGAAGTGATAGATTAATAACAGTGGTAAAGTTAATTATCAATATAACCTTCTTGTTGCTGTCTTTCATTGATCTGAAATGTTAGTTTGTAATATTGCCTCATATGTAATTGTTTGTATTATTATTGCAACAACAATAAAAACAAACAAAAAAAAAGAAAAAATTAACTAATGCAGTGTGAGTTCATATAACAATAAGACATAATGTTTTTCATTTTATAGAAGATAAAACTTCATATAGAAATTGAAGTTTTTTATCAATTTTTTTCAATTTCGAAAGTTAACAAAATGATATTGCACATTTAAATTGATACAAACTTGTTTGCTTTCTTGTTTTATACTCGTTTTGTTTGCTTGTTTTGATTTCTGAATGATACAAAACGGTAAATTTTAATAATAATTTTAATTTCTAAAAAAGGAATTTTGACGAAACTAATCAAAAAGCCACATATTTACTTAAAGTAGCGGAAGTTAGATAAGAATATTTAATGTTTTATAATTTCAGGTTTACAACATTTTTTGATAATGTGCTGAAATTTTCTAATTAAGAAAAATCAGAAAGAAAATAGCTGAAACAAATTTTAGAAAATTTCCCCAAAAAGATTTATATAAGTTACAAAAGTTACTTTTTTGCCACAATTACAGATAATATATGGAGTAAATATCATTGTAATACATGCAAACTGGATGAGTAATATATGCAACATTTATAGTCAAACCGGAAATCAGGAAATAGCAAAGTATTGAGTCGTTTTTTGGCAGTAATGATAGCTGTGTCCAGATACATTCTGGAGAAATATAAGGAAATTGCAACTAAATTTATGTCAGAATCGGTAGATTTTTTTTTTTTTTTATTTCCAAAAGCGAATGCTTAATAAGTAATTCGAAACAATGAAATTTAAAAAGCACCACCAAGAAGCATAACGAAATATTGACAAGTTGAAAAAATTTATTAAAATTTACTGGATGTTTAAATACAAGTAAATCAGGGAAAGGTAACAAACTCTGATGTAGCACATTGTGACGTCGAATTTCTAGTTCATTTAAATACTCAATTTTTCTAGCACAAACATTAATAGTACTCTGATAATATCATACAATGAATTCATACCACCAAAATATATTGTTGCATCAAGTATGAAACCTCTTTTTGTTTTTCATTCAATAAACAATCCAATTTATCGAACAGCCGAACAGTAGCAAATGTGATAATAACAATGTTTCATTTATTCTTATCTAAAAGTTTATATATTATCACATGCATAAGAGATGGTCATTTAACAGTTGTAAACGTATTGTGCACACGTGTGAACATATTAACTGACGTTTTGTAATAGTTATGTGTGACGTTACGGTATTATATTCTAATTAGAATGAAGTTTCCTTATTTTTAACTTGCATAAACAATAGAGATTCTGATTTTTGTTAGCTTGAATTCAGTTTAATTCGTTAGAATAACTATTATTATAACTGATATAAACGAATGCATTGAACGCATTGAGTGAAAGGTCTTTAACGATTTTATTCGCTAGCAAACAATGTGCAAAAGTATTAATCTATAATAGCAACAATACCTTAATAATTTATAAAGTGTCTACGAATAAAATGAAAATGAATAAGTTGATGGGGAATTTAAAGGAATTATATGAACTGTGAGTTATTTATTCTTTGTGACTCTACGAATGAGATGAAAATGACTAAATGAATAAATTTATCCGATGATCTTAATTCTTTATATAATGGGAGACAGGTTTTAGATTAGAAAACTTTTATAGTATTTCAATATTGCAAGCAAATTTGATTTGGAAAAAAGAAATAGTTTTTAATGTATTAAACAAGGCACATAATCTTTGCTAGCAGTTAAAAATTTTTGATAAGCAGATAAGTTTAACAACAATAGGAGAATGAATATTGGAATAATCATTGTTTACATGGGATGCAATTTGAAACAGTTTTATATTTCTATTAATTTTTTTCATACATTTTGTAAGTTATTTGTAAGTTCGCGAAAGACTCATTTCGAGTTTCAAGAAATTATTACATTTTTCAAATATCACTTTCAAAAGTCATTATACTAAAAACATCTAAAAAAAAAGAAAAAAACAAGAATGCTACACAAAATGAAGTCCTTAATAGTGATAATGATAATATTGATAATGATAATGGTAGTAACTATTAGAATTTCCATTGTGTTAATTATAATTATTGTTCTGAAATTTTTCCTTTTAAAATCTTTTAATAAAAATATCAATTTTTTTCTAAGTAATAAAGGAACATTTCAATATCAATAATGATAGTAATGATAACTTTCATCATTGAAAGTTTTCCCACCGAAACTTTTTAATAAAATCAAAGTTTTTTAATTCCATTTTTTCATGATTTTAGTAAGTGCCAAAAATTATTGGATTAACACGATTAAAAAATTTACAACATACTTTAAAATTATACTATTTTTTTCTTCATTCTTAAATAATTATTTTATTAATAGTTTGAATTAAAAACAAATATCATCGCAAGCATTTATATGCCTCACATTGTTGAGTGAAATACCACTTGAAATCACATTTATAATACTTATCATATATCAGTGAAAACTTGTACTTTGTGGAATGAAATGAATAATACGTATTTCAAATATCGCAAAAACTTAATATTCTAAAATAATATTATAATATGTCCACTGATTTATATAAAAATGAATTTTGTACAAAGAAAATCACTTCACACATGTTTTTCATAACTAATCTGATTTTAATATCTTACATCTTTATCAATTATTTTATTTTTGATCTCTTATTTCTTACCTAACTTTACTATATGTTCTTTTTTCTTCATTCTTTTTTACTTATGCTAAATTAACATTCTTATCACGTGGTGAATCTGCAATTAACAAGTTGTTTTTTTTTTATTAAAGTTGATAATAATACAATTTATTTCCTTATTTAATACACAAAAACTTTTAGAAACTGTAGGATATTTATAAAAATCAAAATTCAAGTTTGAAATAAAAACTATTTTTTATTGTAAAAATGAATTAAAACCATGACTAATTGAAAGTTTTATTAATTTTGCTGAAGAAATATTGTACAAAACTTATTTATAAAGGTGTATTTTATTTTTTAAACTATAAAATGACCATACCATATATGACCAGCTCTGGTGCAATGCATATGAAATAATCAACTAAGTTTTAAATATCTTTTTTTTAATCAATTGCTGTTTTTAGCAGATTTAGCACTTAATTAAAATTAAATTTGATAATACTAGAATTTCTTTCCTTGTTTAACATACAAAAACTCTTGCAAATTGTAGGATTTTCATAAAACTCAGAATTTAAATCTGAAACAAAAAGTTTTAATTTTAAAATTGAATTAAAACCTCTTTACTCTTTATATAGTATGAGATGGATGGGTTTTAAATACTGTCAGTTTCTCATGTCATAAGAATGACTCTTAGATGGCAAAACTTTTACAACATTTCAACACTACAAGCAAATTTGGTTTGGAACGAAGGAATGTTTTTTAACATATTAAACAATGCATATACTCCTTGTTAACAGTTGAAAATTCCTAGATAAACAGATAAGCTCAGCTACGATGTGGCTTACATGAGATGCAGTTTGAAACATTTTTGTAAAACTAAAGAAATATTCAATTAAGGTAAATCTTAATATTATGGATTAGTACAATTTTATTTGATATATTTTGTGAATTATTTGGAAGTGTGCGAGACACTTATTTCGAGTTTTGCGACTTTAAATTTCAAAAATTTTAAAAAAATTAAAAAAAAACTTTAAAAATATCTATCATAAACCATCTGTTATGCGGTTAATTCATCTTTATTCTTCCTGTTTATTTGCGCCTTCTGCTTCTTTATTTCTCTCCTCACATACTTGTACTTATCTTCCTAATATAATATGAATTATCAAACGAGTTTTATTAAACAATAAACAAACCGTCAGGTTCTAGACATTCCTGAGTCCTGACCTGAAATGGATTTCAATACCATAGCGGTGTGTATTCAATTTATTTTATGTGCTATTAGCATTTTTACTCTAAACTTTTATTCTACAACTAACACATTACGGAGAACAACAAATTAGATGCATGTATCCGGCGCATTCGTCATGTGGTCGCAAACTTTGATTGCGTCATTGAAGAAAGTAGTCGCTGGACATTGCTTCACATGTGCAATGTTATTTGCGCAGTGAATAAACAAATGGCAATCAGTAGGATGCGGGAACAAACCGTCACGTTCTGGACATTCCTGACCTGAAATGGATTTCAATACTATAGCGATGTGTTCATCCACTGTATGATTGATAACATTTTTGAGACAAAAAAGACAAATTACAGGTAGAAAAAAATATATACGTGTGGATTCCAAATGATTTAACTGTCACATATTTCTAATGCATTTGTAAGCATTGAATTTGAACATAGCTTCAAATATGCATGTCCTCATCAGAAGCATACAAAAGGCTTCTTAGTTTTCATATTTCAAATTATTTCATATTTTAAATAGAATGCATAAGAAATAAATAAGTAGTGATCCAGCATTTTTATTCTTTGAATAA